GCCTTCATAGCTGCAGTTAAGTTATGACATACCAAAGTCCCCACAAAATAACGGATTTTCGTCCGATCCATCCGAGCAATCCTTGCGCCCGTCGCAAAACTGAGATTTTGATAAGCAGGTTCCGTCCCGGCACTGACATTGACCGACCGCGCAGACCTGCTGAACTGAAATTTGAATTTCCTTTTGCTTGCCACTGGAGATATAGCAACTAGGAATGGAAGAGTAGAAATTATAATCGCAGCAGGAGTGCTAAGGTTGAGAGTGGATTAGGGTGATGGAAAGTACCCTTGTGATCTAAAGAGAACAACAGGCAACTTACTAGACAAGCATAGGTTTGTCCATTTCACGAAGACCGTTGGGGGCGGTAGCCTTAACGGAATGGCTTTGAGGTCTCGTGATCTGGAAACGCCGATCGGAAGTGAGGGGGGTGCCTGTGCGAGCATCGATTAGCTCGGGACGGGACCCGCGCGGCCCCTTACAAATAAATGAAAAAGGACGCCAGGGTAGCTCGACGATCGCCCCGGGCCTGATGATTATTTCTTCAACGAGGGACACTAAAAATGGCGAAAAAACCTCAATCAGACCTATGCAGCGCGCAAAGCGTCTTAGGTGTTATGAAGATTACAAATAGTTAATACGACTTTGGTCATACTCCCTTTTAAACCAGAACACATACGTTCTCAGACAAATTGAATCGACAACATCAAATTCTAACAGAGGGCTCCACAGACAACGCTATCGGAGACTGTTCGGCAGTTTTGTGTATGTTTGATGTTTCTTTTGATTTGCAGGACAGATAACATGGATTTGTAGTGCTCGACGGACGAGCTTTCGGTAGCATTGATGACGGCACTCCAAGTCCATCTAAGTACATACTTGTTTGAACACTTGACTTCAATGTATCCTCCGCATACATTAAAAAGACCGATGGGAGCTAGTTCTGGAGTAACTTACTATGTCTGTCTTGCAGAGATCAGTGGAATGTTTTATTTTTTAGCGATAAGAAGACATTTATCAGGCGCTAGAACTGCTTGACGTCACCGAACTCGTTGTAAACCACGAAGAATAAGTAAACGAGAAATCCAGCATTTCAATAAATCTAATCCCAATGCATCTAAAAATATCAATAGTTTATGCACATTATAACCACGTTCGATAAAAATAGTCCCTATTGACTCCTATGATCATTTCAGGAAACTTCTGGAAGAACTTCTAACTGTAGAAATACGCAAGTCCGTAAAGCAGTCGTTTTGTTAGTTGAAATGAATTCATTAAGACCACGATGTGGAAAAGTCAAAATGAGGGAGACCAGCGTACCCGGACAAAACACTTTATTTTCATCGGAGCCGTCTGGACAGTCGATTTCACCATCGCAGAAGACGTCCATTGGTTTGCACGTGCCGTCAGCGCACTGATTTTGATCAGGCTGACACGATGATTCAATTGATACCCGGATCTCTCTCCTAGCACCAGCGCTTGTCGAGCATCTGTCAAAGTGGCATATGTGGCAGAAGTTAAAATATTACAGCCATAGGTGAAATACACGGGAATAGGAATATTTCTGCATTAGAGGTGGGCTTGCGCTTAATCCCAGCTGGTGGGTTCAGTTTAAGGTAGAGTTACCTTTGGGAGTTAAGGTTACGGTGACTAGCGCAATTCTTATTTCAAGCGTGGTGATAAGGGGTCCAGTTCCCCTATTTTTCCCCAAAATGTGTTTAATTGCATGCAAAATCCGTGTGAAAAGGTGGATATTTTTGAAAATAAGCTGAGATATTTTGACGACCAATCTGAAATTGTTGCCGACTAATGTCAATCGTACACTAGGCTGTGGGGCGCATCGTCCGTTTCGTTTTCCCTCTAGAAAACTCGCATAAGGTCCCATAGCGAGGATTAATTAGTAGGTATGAGGAGTTTTATGATAATATCAGGTAGACAGGAACTGCAATTCCCCTCTTATTTGCTCTACGCGAGTGTCCGGCTCAGAAATAATTGGGATGGAGAAGAGCTAGACACGATCGTAGGAACAAAAAAGTTTATTCGCCTGACGTTTCGGATTCATGTTCTAGCCTAGCATCAGAGACAGTGTCATTGTTATTGTTCTGCCCCTGCACCACAGGCTTAGGCTTTGCTAATTGGGGTGTTAGTCATATATACTCAGCGCAACGCTCACTTGGTTGATTTGATATGAAGCTGAGGCAGAAACTCTCTGTT